AGCAGCAGTATCCAAGCACTGGCAAGGCGGTGCAACCTGAGTTGAGCCCTGATGCACGTCCGGGTCTTGTTGGTGGTCATGCACAACGGATACAGCAGCGAACACAGGGCTGGGTCGGGGAATCCAGGTAGAGCGCGCGGCCTTCCGCAAAGTTTCATTATAGGGCATTTTCAAAGGCTTGCGCATGGGTGCTCCAAACAAGTGCCGTGTTTCTAATCCATGGCGAGTTGAAAGTGCATCTGACAAAGTTGGATCAACTAATCGAGCCGCAGGTGGCGCGACAGCCCTCTTCAAGTTCATGATGTGTGCCAGCCTTACCGATAGATAGAGGTGACAAAGTGCCGGCCGGAACTTTCTTGGCCCCCCCCGGAGGTGACAAAGTGCGATTATCGGGTGGAGCAATCGATGCGCCAGATTTGCGAGCCTGGAGCTCCGAGTCTCGCATCCAATGTGGTGTGAACACTGGTTGCAGAAGTTGAACCCAAGCTTCGCCACAAGCAGGCACTAGCTTTGGTGAGCCTTGCCATGGCCACAGGTTTTGTATCAAGGCGTCCAAATTTGTTCGAGAACCGCATCTTGCTGCCTGACGTGAGGATGCAGCGTGCCTGCATCGGCGTCAACCGACACACTAGCTTGTGCGACGCTTCTAGGCAATGACGAACCATGTAAGATGCCGCCAGCATTCGTTAGCAGGGCTGATTTTTGTTCAAAGAAGTTTGGGCAAGCGCATCAGCCACGCGGCCATCTGCCGGTGCATTCTCACTACCAGGTACGTCTTGACTTGACAGCGACTTCAATTGACCTTGTCCAAAACATCACAGAAGGTCCGCAGCATCTGTTTACAGCACTTCATGCCAGTACCTTGTTTGTGCGTTTCGTTCGAGCGAGTGCTGATACCTAATGGTCTACCAGTGCTTGAGCAAGCAACTTGGGAGTTAGCTGCCATGACCGACCACAGGACAACGTTCCCTACTTCCACCCTTAACAGCGGAAGTGCCAGCCTGTCAACCTTCTAGGCAATGCCGGAGGCCCGGCACCTAAAGTTTGTAAGTAACTGTATTTCAGGAGAAGACATGATGCACGGTGCGTCTGCGAAAACAAGAGTTCGGGAACCTGATAATCCGCTGTCGGGAAGCCTGAACACCTTGTACGAATCCGTTCTCCTCCATACCGTAGAGGATGCGAATTTTGCAAGAGTCGCTTCTGTTTCACATGTGGCATCTTCATGCTGGCCTTCGGCAATGACCAAGAGGCAGAACCAGATTGCCGGTCACGTGGAGCAATGCAACCGTCCTGTTCGGCAGAAGCCCATGCTGGCTTTGGGCTGTGATGTGTTCCCAGCTCAGACGCCGCTCCAAGTAGGTCTTGCCAGCTTAGAATTGACGCTCTCCGGTTCCTTGGGTTTGGGCCCAGATGTTTCGATTATGATCATCCACAGAAGCTTCGGGTTTTGGCTGCCGTGCTCATTGCCGAACTTTTGGCCCCTTGAACCTTCAAAAAGGTTCGGCAGCAAGTTCTTGGAACGTCAGCCTTCGACTTAGCTGCTGGGCAAATTCCAGAAGGTCTTTTTTAGGAAGAGTTGTGAGGTCGTCATATTGAACCGACGACCCGGGACGCGTATGTTGACGCTGGAAAGTGTGCTGCCAGCCACTTTGAAAAGAGCCAACATCAAGTCAATGCTCGAGCAAGAAGCAGTTAAAGCTCAAGCAAAACGTGGAGACTTGTAAATGAGCGAAGTAATGAAAAGGACCGAAGTCGAACCCAGCCAAGACTAGTTCAGTCAAGGCGGAGAGGCGTACGGAGGGTCCCACGGGCCCCGGAAAGGGAAAGTTGGAGCGGATGTTCAGGCGATGTCAACTGGGTTGAACTGGCTAGCTGAGAGTCAGATTTGGACCTGGGAGCACACGCGGGCCATCGTGCGTGCTTGCGGCGACCTGGACAAGGAGCTGGACTGAGACGAAAGCTCAACTCTGGACTGCTCATATCTGTACAAACAGCGCTGTGCACCGCAGAATTGCAGAGGCCGGTTCTTACCTACGGTCTCATAGAAGGCTGCCCGCTACTCTCAGTGTGGGACGAAAGCTTTGATAGGAGCCGGCTTCAAGTCTTGGGTGAACTCTGGGCAAGCGGCTTGTGGACCGTGGCTTGGCCTGTCGTTGGAAGAAGGGACCGACCTGAAGGTCTTCAATCTTCAAGCGGGGGCTTGAAGCTCTGTGCAGGTTTGCGTGTAATTTGAGGCCGCCTCACTGGACCCAGGCACAGGCGGAAGCCTAGGCTGACAGCTCTGCAGCTCCACCACCTGTCCGTAGGTACCACGCGTTGCTGGGTGCCGAGAAGACGTCTGAAAGTAGGTGCTGACACAACAGAGCTCTCTGCCTTGAACTGTCCTTTTCGCTCCGAGGGGCTGGCAGTATTCTTCCACTTTAGCCCCATGGCAGCAGGCCGTGCAGTTCAGCTGAGCCCGAGAGATTTGTATCTGCAGCTCCAAAAGTCGGGAGAAACCGAAGCGAACGCACAGGCGAGTTCTTTGAGCAACATTGTCTCTCCGCGGTCATCGTTGCCAGAGCTGCTCCGCAGAACAATGCAGACCGAGGCCAGGGCCATCCAGCCAGAACGGCAGCCCGTGCTGGCTCGTTATCAGGATGCGAACTGTTGACTTCCAAAGCAGCACTCGATAACCCCCCAGTTCTGCCTCCCCATCCGTTGAGGGACAGCCTGGCGTGCCCAGGCGCTTTGGATGATTGTTCCGTGCACAGCTGATGGGAGTTGAACCTCAACTTCAGGCTACTGCCGGACGGCCCCATGGTGCTGTGCTGGACGCGAGATCTGTAAGTCCTATGGGCTAGGTTGGTGTGTGCAGATGTGAGATTGGCACTCCCAGTTGGCACGGAGCATTGCAGCAATAAGCGCAGCTGGCTCATGAAGGCTTCCGGCAGATCTCAGCACGCCCCCGAGGCCCAATTGCAGACTGCACATTGCTAGATGCCGGATCAATTTGTCAAATAAGACATGGAAAGCAAAGTTCATCCACATGAATGTAGCAGTGCCCAAGCCTCTGAGTCCATCCGCCGGATCTGCTCGGCGGAGACCTTGACAAGGCTGCTGAATGCCGATACGCCTGTGCTTGCGCAGCGGATCTGGCCTGAGACGACGACGAAGACTCTGCTATGCAATTGCAGCTACATTGTCGGAACGTTGCGTTATGTTGCTTTGTTCGACCAGGTGGATTCTTCAAGAATTTTGCAGCAGGGAAGTGGCCCTTAATGTGCTGCCCCTCCAACATCCTTGCTCTTCAGTCCTAATTCGTTGAGTGTCTGGCCGAGAGTCGCTGATGTTGGCGCTGCCACGACCTATGCTGCATGCCAAGAACATCGCGGACGCTACCTTTGATGAACTTGCGAAAGTTTAGGGTTCAAGGTGTCTCCAGCAGGAACTCACCACGTTTCAGGCTTAAAATGATAGGGGTAATGCGTCGAAGCCCTGGGAATGCCCAAGCGAGGCTTGGAGTTCGGGAACCCTAGTAGCAACTTGCAGCGAGGCAAGCCTTTCTTGCCGTACGTGACCACGTTCTTCGCCGGATGAGAACAGGCACTTTCCTTGCAGAGCGCCTTCAATGGTCCGTGAGATTTAGTTTTTAGAGGCGCCTGGTTCTAGTTGGGGCTGCCCGTCCACACCAGCACAGCCAAGGTTGATGTACCTGAAGTCGCTGGACGCCCCATAGTCGTTTGGTTTCATGACAGTTTATCAGGCCGGGCGGTCTTTTCCAGGCTTGCTGCCACGGTTGGCCACAGTGCAGCTGCCAGATAAAGCCCTGCTGGACCACGGCGCGAGCCTCCTCGTTGAGTTTGAAAGGTGCGCAGGGTTTCTTTATGTCAGCAACTCGGCGGTCCGGGGATCTCCCCAGTGCGTGTTGATGTTATGACAGTGGTGTCTGTCGGGGACCGAGCCACACTCTCAGCGGAGAGTGCGCAGTTGTATCATGTTTCTGACAGTCAGCTTTCTGCGCGGCAGCGCCAAACCTCAGCTAATGCTCTGGACAATTCCAGTTTGGCATCTTGTGACCAAAGTGGGGTGGACCGTCGGGGGTCCTCGTGTCCCCTCTCCCGAACCACTGGCGGTCCTGAGGTTGTCAGCCCTGGGTCTGACCAGCCTGAGGGCTGTTGTTCCATGTTGTCTTCTTCTTGTGGTCCACAGTTGTCTGGCTCTGTCAGCTCTGACGCCACTTATGCAACGCCAAGTTTGCCTGGCACTGGTTTGTTTGTCATGGGATCCCAGTTTCCTTTCCTTTCTCTCCCTTCTCCGGTTCCTCCCCCTCCTTCCCCCTCGTCTCCTGCGCTCGTCTCTCCCCCCTCTGGTCAGCGGCAGGGTGTTTCGAACCTTTTTCCCGGCGGTTGTTTGGCAGGGGCCCAGTTCCCTTTCTTTTCCTTTGTCAATTCCATGCCAGTGGGGAGTCCGAGTCCACATCGTTCGTTGGGGCAGTGGATTTCATCGCGGGGCGGTCGTGTCGGCTTTTGTCGCTGGTTACGCCAGCTCGCGGAAGAGTCTATTGGTGCCGAGTGGGTGAGTCTACAGCCTGGTTTTGTTTGGGAGCAGCTTATTGAGTTTGGTCCGTCGTGGCTCAGCGATCAGATCGAAACTGTCCTTTGGGAGCATGCGGATGTCATTGAAACTCAGTTACATGGATTAATTATTAATTGACCAGGCGAAACAATGCACCGGCTCTTGGGCTCTCTCCCAGACTCCGAAGCGTAAGGCGGTAGCATTGGCCCCTCCTCAATCCTGTTTGACTCGGTGCCAGCGTAGGAACTTTCACAAACGGTTGAGGCGTTCAAAGAAAGCAATCGCGGCCAGGAAGCATAAAAGGAAACTCGCCTGCTTTAGGGCTTCGTCCGTCTGGGGTATTCGTAAACAGGGCCATCTGACCATCGGTACGTGGAACACGAGGGGTTTGGGCGCCCCTCAGGGAAAAGATCCTGCCGGCCGGCAAGGTGGAGGCAATCATGCGTCTGGTCGCAGAGCGACAGTGGAGCTGTGCGCTCCTCACTGATTTACGTTTTCCGGAAGATGGTTTTCGTGAGGTTATGGTGGGCGGTGCCTCCTGGCTCCTTATCCACGAGGGCCGGGTATAGGTGTAGCGCTTAACCCTTTCTTGGCCGCCAAGTGGAGGCAAGGGGGTTCGGTTTTGGTTAAGGGGCGTGGGTGGTCGGGTAATCCCAGGGCGTTCGGAGTGTCTATCCCGGGCTCAGGTTGGAAGCCAGGCTTTCTCTTGGTCCCGGTGTACGCCCCGTTGGTGTCGAAAACAACGTTGGAGGAAAGGGAGGCTTTTAGGGAACAGTTGAGTTTGATCCTTGACCACTCGTCCAGTCGGCGTCGGCTCGTGGTTGGTGGGGATTTCAATGGTGAAGTGGGGCCTACCAAGGACTCGTCTTGGCGTCACGTTTTGGGACCGTATGGGGACGATAGGCGCACGCGTGGCGGGGAGGAGTTGCTGCAGTTTTGTGAACAGGAACACCTTGTGGTAGCAGGCTCCTTCACACCCCAACGCCAAAAAGCTACCTGGTACCACTGTCGGTTTGGCACCGCCCACACACTTGATCACTTTCTGGTCCGTGGCGTTGACAAAAAATGGGTCAAGTCGGTCTTTACTGTGAATTTTGCCGCCAATCAGCGTTGCAGCAAGACATCGAGGCAAGGTCGTCCGCCCAAGTTCTCGTCTGCCCCCTGGCTTGAGCATACGGACCATGATCCGGTGGAGCTTGTTATTCGGGTTGGGAAAGATTGGGCTGGGGAAGCACAGCGTAGGAGAGAGCGGGCCCCTCGACCGGATGTTTTGCGTTTCCTGGGCTGTTCGGAGGAAGCTGCGGCTCTGCGGCGTGAGTATGCGAATGTTGTTTCCGAGGAGTTGGAAAGGGTTTCAGGTCAGTTTTTGGATTGGGACTTGGTGGCCGAGGTCATGAGGAAGTCTGCGTTCCAGGTCGTCGGTCCCACCCCCCCACGGCACAGAAAACCTTGGTTGCAGGGTAAAGAAGCGGAGCTGCTAGAGCTGGAAACTGCGGTGCATGTCGCTGAGGAAAACCTTCGGGAGGCTCGTCGACAGGGATCTTCACAGGTAGATTCTCTTCTGGAGATTCGTCGTCGTAGCGCCAAGCGCCGGTGGGAAGCCTAATGGTGGAGCGATCTGGCGGTTAAGGCCAATCGAGCGGGGGAGGAGGGGGATGACTATGCCTTTTGGCAGGTGTGTCGTCAGTTGGGCTTCAGGGAGTCATGTCGCGCATATGGTGGTTCGTTGCGCACTTGCGGTGATGCTGTCAGGGAAAGGGAGGCCTGGAAGGATTTTCTGCACAATATCCAGTCGGGTGAGGGCGAAGTTTCTGAAGCGGTCTGGGATTACATTCCACCCGCCACGGCAGAAATTTCCGTTTTAGGGGAGGAGCCTACTAGGCAAGAGTTTCGTGACGTGCTGCGTAAAATGAAGGTGGGCAAACGCGGTGGGGCAGATGACATCACGGTGGAGATGATTAAGTTTGCGAACTCTGATCTTCAAGACACGGTTTTTCTGGTGGTCCTTGATATGTGGAATGATGCTAGGCTCTCGGATGACGGACACGAGGCTGACAAGTGGTGTCAGTCCTCCAAGGACGGTGTGTGCATCCCAATGTACAAAAACAAAGGGTCCAAAGATGACAAAAACAATTATAGGAATCTGGTCATGCTCTCAGTTTCAGCCAAAATTGTGGCCCGCATTGCTGCCAGCCGTCTGAGCAAGTGGCTGGAAACATGGATGCCGGAAGAACAAAATGGTTTTCGCACCGGTAGGGGTATTGATGATGTGCAACAGTTTGTTCGTCGGCTGCTGGAGGAGGTCTCGGTCTCTGCCAAGTCTGCGTGTGTGGGAATGACATGTTTTGATATCGTCCGTGCTTATACGCGTGTCTGTCGAGACGCTCTCTGGCATCTGCTTTCCCGTCTCGGCATTCCGGACTCTTTTTTGAAAGTGCTTAAAGCATTGCACAACCACACTTCCTTCAGGGCGTTTGTGCATAATGGTTACTCTACCGCCTGGCTCACGGAGCGTGGCCTGCGTGAGGGATGTCCTTCATCTCCTGTGTTGTTTTCCATTTTTCATCACGCTATCATGCTAACCTTTAGAGTTGTGATGTTCTCAACCCACACATAAGGGTTTTTTGTCCGAAATTGTAAAACACAAATAAAACTCGGCTGAAACTCAGAACATAGACTCCCCCAAAACTCAGTTCAATGTACACAGAAACTCGTTTAAAACTCAACCAAAATACAAATCAGACTCAGTTTCTGCCCCAGAACTCACAGAAAACTCGGGCAAAACTCAGAAATAATTCAAAACTCAGAACAAACTCGGACAAAATTCGGACAAAACTCGGAAAATACTGGGAAAATACTCAAAACTCCAGGGCCCCAAAACTCAGCCCAAACTCAGCCAAGGAGGGCTCCAAAACTCAGCCAAAACTCAAAACACAGCCTCCAGGAGGCTTTTGGGGCCTGGGAGGCCGGGCAGGAGGAGGGCCCCAAAACTCAGCCAAAACTCAACCAAAACTCAGCCAAAACTCAAAAGGGCTGAGGAGGGCTCCAAAACTCAGCCAAAACTCAAAACACAGCCTCCAGGAGGCTTTTGGGGCCTGGGAGGCCGGGCAGGAGGAGGGCCCCAAAACTCAGCCAAAACTCAACCAAAACTCAGCCAAAACTCAAAAGGGCCCGGCAGGAGGGTGCGCCTCCTCCCAGGCCCCAAAAGCCTACTGGAGGCTGTGTTTTGAGTTTTGGCTGAGTTTTGGCTGAGTTTCGGCTGAGTTTTGGTTGAGTCAATGGTTTCAGGCTACGATTCGTGCTGAGTTTTTGGCTGACCCTTGGTCTGAGTTTTGATTGAGTTTGCGCTGAGTTTTATTTGTGTTTGGAATAAAACCATCAAAACGCCTATGTGTGGGTATGAGAACATCACAACTTTAGAGGTCGTCGGGCCCGTGCCGCGGAGTCGTCTGGAGGGACACCTGGCATTACCTGTACCTGGTCTTACAAGGTTGATGGGAAACTGGTCAGATCAGGCCGCGCACGTCATTCCTCTCGGGGTATCAGGTCCAATGTCGTTGGGGACGTGGAGTTTGCCGATGATACTGCCTTGTTGGGATGGGTGGAGGAGCTCCGAGTGGCGGAACGGCTGTTTGTGCAAACATTACGGGATTGGGAGCAGGAGGAACATCGGGGCAAACGGGAGAAGCTCATGCTGGTTCCTGGTGGGAGATTAATTTGGGAGGTTTTGAATGAGTTTGAAGCTAAGACCCTCAAACACTTGGGCGCCACTCACTGTGACAATGCTGACCAGTGGGCGGAAACCAAAAAACGTGTACAGGCTGGTTTCTATGCAGTCAAGCGGGTGGCTAAGTATTGGTCTCTGGGTACAAGTCACGGCAGGGGAGCTGGCATGGGTCTTCATACTACCAAAAGGCTACGGGTTATGCGTGCGGTCGTTGAGGGTACGTTGATGGCTTGTGGCAAATCTAGGGTGTGGAGTTTGGCACAGGAGCGGAAAGCTAATCAAGTCATGGCTCGGGGCATTCGTCGTTGTTTGGGTGTGGACAGGTATAACATGCGTGAGTATGGTTACTCGGACGAGGCCTTGCGACAGATGGTGCAGTGGAATTCCTTCACTACTCTAATGCACAGAAGTATTCTCCTTTGGTTGGGGCATGTCACCAGGATGAATTGTGATCGTCTTCCCAAGATGGCAGTTTTTGGGTGGCTGGAGGGTTTGGAAGAGCATCGCTCGGCTCGATACACCTTCCCGAGTTGGGTACAATGGCTGTTGTCCAAATACAACATCTCGGTTATGGACTGGTTCAGATTAGCACAGAAACCGACCAAGAATTGGATTAGGTTGATCAACCAGGCTCTGCCCCGCACTCGTCTGTCTAGCAAACAGTGTGTAATCCTCGATAGATGGAAGGTCGGTGACCCCGTTCTACAATGGTCAAACCTGGCGCCCCCCCAGGAGTTTCCCCCCCCAAGCCCCGGTGGAGCTACAGTGTCCAGCTTGCTCCTTCGTCGCCAAAAATGCTAGGGAATTGCAAGTGCACTATGATGGGACGCACGCTGTTCAAAATGCAGCTCTCACCACTGTTAGTGTGTCCAAATGTCCCCTGTGTGGACAAGTTTTCGTATATGGTCGTCATCAATCAAAGCACAGATGCCCTGCCAAACCACACACCTTGGATGACCTTGCCAAAATGCAATCCTACCCTGTCCTCCAGGCCCCTTCAGCAGACCCACCTTCTGAATTTACCAGTTGGCGTTTGTTTACGGATGGAGCAGGTCCCTGCCCGGGAGCTCCTTTTGCAGGTTGGGGGAGGCTTCTGCTTCGCTCGAACCCAGTTTTGAACTTTTCGGCCCGGTCTGTCTTTGCCCCCCACGACAAGCGTTTTATGGGTGCGATAGTGGCAACCAACAATGTTGGGGAACTTAGTGCCATGGTAGAGGCGCTCCTGTGGTTGGAATCCGAGGCTCCGGGCCCCAGTGACCTGCCCGCTACCATCTTCTACGATTCCTCCTATGCCTATGCCTTCAATGCCATCACTGGAACTGGTGAGCCAGTTGAAAACCCTGACTTGGTTAGGTACGCTCGAAACGTTTTTGCAAGAGTGGCGGCTGTGAGAATAGTGCAGTTTTCCTATGTTAAAGGTCATTCGGGAAATGTTGGCAACGACAAAGCGGATGAACTCGCCGGTCTGGGTGCGCGAGGACAGCAAACCAAACAATCCCTACGATGGCTGCTCCCCGCCTGTGCACCCCCACCGTTGGACCCCTTGCTCGTGGATCATTGTTGGCGTTGTAAACGAGTTTTTTCGGGGGAGTCGTATGCGCGTCAGTTAGCAGGTCACGAGGCACATTGTGCGGTGGAGGCAGCGGCTCCAGCCAACATTCCGTGTCGACATCTCTGTGGTAAAGTTTTTGAGTGGAAGCACGCTGTAATCCAGCCGGGTAAACACACCCATCATGCGCGAGAAGTAAGGAGTATGCACGAAAGGATTTGCCGTGGTTCAGACGCGTTGACAAGGACTTGCCCGTTTTGTGAAGAACAGTTTCCTCTGGGTGTCACGGACGAAACAATTTTCAAGCATCGTGGATCGTGTTCAAGTAGACCTGATGATGCACCTTCCCTTCTCCCCACCTGGCGTTGCCCCCGGTGCAAATCTGCATTCGCTGTGGCCAAACAGCAGAGCCATGAATCACAGTGTAGAGGGTCGGTTAAGGCTAATCGTGAATGCCATATGTGTAAGTGTTCGTTTCAAACGGTGGATGCCAGGGTCAAGCATGAAGAAGAGTGTCGTGGATCTGAGGTCGCAAACCGCACTTGTTCCGTATGTGGTAAAATTTGTGGGCAAATCGGGAGTCGCATTGCTCATGAACGTCGCTGTGGAAGGTAAGTCGCAGTGGTGATTTCTTGTTGAGGGTGCGAGAGGACTTGCTTGCAAGGACCCCCACCCGCTTTACCCCTTGATGTGGTCCCATCGTGGCGGAGGTCCTGCTTGCAGGAGACCACCGGGTGCTTGCACCGACCCGTCTCGGAGGATGTTTCGTTTCGTCGGTTTTTTACGGTCTCGTTTGGCGGGGTCGTGGTTGGGGTGTCTCGTTGCTGGTACGGTGGGTGGGGTGGTGGGGTGCTGTCGGTCTGGATTTGGGGAGTCGTACGTTCTTTCGTTGTTTCTGTCTGTCCATGTTTTATTTTTCTTCTGTCCTCCGTTTTGGTCTCGGGCTCTGCATGGTCTGCTGAAACCTCGGTTAGATGTTCCGGTCTTCGCCTTGTCTGCTGGTGGCGCAGGCACTTGACAAAGCTTGGCATCTGGTGGCAGAGGACTTGATTGCATGCTCCGGACTGCTGTAACAGACAAGGTAAGTGGCAAGTCTTTTTCTTTTGTTTTGAGTAAGTACGGGCCCTGTGGAAGCTAGTCTCTCCCAATGCAGAGTTTTGGCTCTGTGCCCACTGACTTCTTCGCCTGCGTACGCGCTCCCCCCGCACCAGCCATGCCGGCCGCTGATAACGTCGATGCTCGCCTGGAGTTCCTCGAAGATCGGGTTTCCGAGTGGGATACCCTCACCAGAGTGAGGGCCAAGGGGATCCCAGCTTTGGTCAATCGTGCCAGGGAGATAGACGCCGGCAACCGGGAATTCTGGACTTTGAAGGAATGTGTCGGCCAGTTGATGTGGGATGCCGTATCTCCTGTGCTCGCTCGAGTCCTTCCTGCTGATGCTCTCGAACATGTGAAGACTGAGTGGGACGTTGGTTTTTTCAAAGATGGAATTTCCGGTGTGTACCCGATCGGGGGCAAGTCGGGGGAAACCCACATTTTTGATGTGCGGTTGAAGTGTGGGCTGCAAGCTCTTAGGTTCAATCACCTCATCAGGTCTGCTGTTGCTCCCAAGATGAAGGAAGTTGGTGGTGATCCTAATGGACCCCAACTGTGGGTGCCTCGCAGCCAAGGGGAGATGCGGAGGAAGCGGGCCAGATCGGAGGCTGCTGGGTTGTCCTCCACCAAGGGCGGAGGCAAGGGCGGTGGCCGGGGTCGTGGCTCGGGGAACGGCAGGGGCCAGGGCGGTGGTAGGGAGCGGGGCCGTAGCAATGACCGTAGGCGCGCTCGGTGATGCATCTGCTCTCATCGTCCGATTGTTTTCCCAGAGTCCTTGCATCTTGATCCGGGGTTGTTCTCTGGCTGTTTTTTTGAAGGTACGCAATCCATGTTCATGGTACAGTTCGTTCCTGCTCGGGTCTAGTGCGAAGGTCTCTTTTTTGAACTCTTTCGCTCCGCGTCGGTGAATAGCCGTCTCGCGTCGCAGCCTTCACTGTCCAGTGCTTGTGCGTGTTGAAAGGGTGAGTGATCAGTGCATGCGCCAGGGTTCAGTTCATGTTTTCTGATGGCTTGAGGGTTTCTCCTCTCCCGCTTCCCTGTCCTCCCTTCTTCCCTCGTCCTCCTTTGTCTCTTACCTCTCTCCCTCGCTGTCCTTCCTCCTCCCTGTGCTGGTCCCTATGTTTTCCTAAGGTGTGCCTTGCAGGTTTGCTGTTTGTGCGCGTCAGATTTTTTCATCCCTGTTTTGTTTGAGGAGCCAGGCCGGGGGTCTCTTGAGGCCGTTCCCAACGAAAGACGACGATAAAGCCCTGCGGCTTTCCCTGAGCGGCGACAAGGGGCTGTGATGACCCGTGACGAGACCTTGCACCACAGCTCTTCGTTGAGTCTGATGCGTCGTTGAGTCTGACGCATCGCCCTTAACATCTTTCATCCGAACATGGCTGCACATCTTCTCGGCTCGGGGGATCTGGGACTTGACGTGGATGCTGCAGCGCGTTGCACGGCTAAGAAGAGACGCTCTGTAGTCTCGAACGTCCATCTAGACTCTATATCGAATGTAGAGCAGAAAGTAGTAGTGGCGGCAGCAGCAGCAGCAGCAGCAGCCGCAGCAGCAGAAGTCGGAGTAGCAGTAGCAGCAGCAGGAGCAACTGGGCAGCTCATCCGTAGTCAAAATTGGTCTCAAAATCCTTGCTCGTATTGTGCCGTTACCAAACCGGTCGTTTGCGAGTTCTTTCACTGCAACCTTTGAGGCTGATGCTTCCGACAATCATGATATCGCAACATGATCTGTCTGCCTCGTGACAGTGAGAGTTCGGGTGCCACTGCAGTAAGATGGGGGAGACGTCCTTTTGGTTTTGAAGGGATATGAACTGATGACGCTGGGGTGACGGATCAAAAAAATTAAATATGGATCAAAAATTAAAGCACAAAGATCAAAAAAACTTAAAGGCAGGATCAAAAAAATATATCAGTACTTCCGCCACAGAATCACACAAAAAACAAGGGGTGATCGAGGTTGACGTATCAAAAAAAATTTAAAATTTGGATCAAAAAAACGAATTCAAAAAAATAAAAACAGTATCAAAAAGGTTAAATCAGTACTTACCTTTTGCCCAGCTAAAGCGATGTCATGTGTCTCGACAAGTTAAGAAAGCGAGCAGTTCATGTGGCTTCTCCCTCTCTTCGTTTTCCAGAGAGACTCACGTTGTCGTTTTACCTTTGTTTTCTTGTTTCTTGCTCTTGGCTTCCAAAAGCGAATACATCTGGCTTTCGCCCTTTTGCCTGTCGGTGAAGACGTTTCATTCATGAGAAATCTTGTATTCTTCGACTTTTAAATTTTAAATCCCCTGAAGTGTTTTCGTGTGGCTTTGTCCTCGTTGTGCGTTTAGAAAAAACGCCTTTAAGTCATTTCAACGACAGCTTAAGAAAGCGGGCAGTTTGCAGTTAAAAAACGGGGGGGCGGGGGTTGGGGGGGTGAAGACGTTTCATTTACGAGAAACTTTATCTTCGTCGCTTTTTAACCGTTTTCGTGTGGCTTTGTCTTTCTTGTGGGTTGGAAAAAAAGAGTCTTTAATCCATTTCATCGACAGCTTAAGAAAGCGGCAGTTTGCACTTAAAAAACGGGGGGGTTGGGGGGGGCGCAGCCCCCCCCCCACATTCTACCTCAGTCTCTAAGGGTAACGTATAAGGAATCACAGCAGTATGTGTCCTTCATTAGGTCTCCAACTCTTTCGGGTTTACTGTATGGAAAGATGCTATGGGGAAAATAGCTTTGTATTCAGCTCAGCTTTCAGACTTGTAAGCGCAGTTAAATGGGATCTAGGGTGCGGGTTTGCGGTTTCGAGGACTCGGAAGAAGCGGACGACGAGACTTGTGTTTGCTCTTGCGGCGTTTGGGCTAGGCTTTCGGGTTTACGGCTTTGGGTTTGTAAGTCTACACTTTAAAGCCAGCAGGCAGTCATCGACGATTTGATCTTCAGATTCTGGCGCGTGGGTGATCACCTTCCTTTCCTTCCATTTCCTTTCATTCCCTCTTGCTTTTCTTTCTTTGTTTCTTTCTTCACTGCTTCCTTGCTTTTCTCCTTCCTTCCTTCCTTACTTCCTTCCTTCCAGCTTTTCTCTTTCCTGCCTTCTCTCCTTCCTTCCTTCTTTCCTCCTTCCCTCCTTTTCTCCTTCCCTCCTCCGTTTCGTGCTTCCCTCCTTCCTTCCTTCCTTCCTTT